TGTAATAGACACATTATTTAATAAGATAAATAATTTTTAAAAATTCAGCATCATTATTGAAAATTTTATTAAAACATGTAGAACTCCTCTAAAAGCAAAAAAAAATTATATAGATGGAATATTTTTTATATAAGTTAAAAAATCAATTTCACACTATATATACTAATAAATAGTATTACATTATTGTAAATAACTTAATAATGAAATAATAGTAAATATAATAAAATTAATAATAAAATAATAAATATTAATAATAAATATATAAAATGAATTCATTACAAATTGTCTTCATATAATATACAATGAAGAACATAACTGATATTAACATTACTAACGACAAAAAATTGTCGATATTTTAACTTTTATCGTTACAACTTCATAAAAATAAATCATATGATAATTGATATCAAAGATTGAACGATCTCTCGAAACTTGCTGTACGATCATTTTCCGTCATTTTATTGAATTTTGAAAGTTAAAAAAAAAATTCAATTTTTCATCATTATGTACTGAAAAAATTAATTTACTGCGTATTTGATGATTGATCCAATGGAAGAGAAAATATACAAGAGTAGCGTTTCGAGGTAATTCAGATTTTTATAAAAAATTTTATTTCGATAAGAATTGCTTCCTTTTTCAAATTTAAACTTAATTAAATTTAAATCTATTATTAATATGAAAGTAGTGTATCTGGAAGAATGGATCAATCTTCTTATTTCATTTTCTACACATCCTTGAAATTGGCCTTGAAAGAGAAGCCAATTTTACAAAAGTTGTTCTCGTTATAAACAATTTTATTTAGAAGTACTTGAAAACAAATTTAGAAATTCTATTATCGAGAAATAATATTCAGTGTGGCAAATTACATACGTGTAATTGGCCAACTGCTTCCAACTTCCCCTATGAATCCTGTCTTCACGTCGGGATAGTCCTCGCAGCCAATGGTCATTTCTTTCAACATTACATCGTACATCTTTTCCTTTGATAGATCCTGGTCAGTTTGAGTTTCGTTGACATAATAACCTTTTATCCACAGTAAAAAATAAAAAAAAAAATTAGATGTGAGATAAGCTGATAAAAATGTGGTTTGTGTAAAAAGTTTTCATTTATAATTCATTCAAAAGTCAAAGAAAATCTTTTGCAATTACTTCAAAAGTGAATTACTTGAAACAAATATTCCAAAGCTGAAATAGATGATAGTTAAATAGAATTTGAATATCACAATATAAATGTGTAAATTAATGTACGTGTAATAATATGACAAGTAACAATCAATCGTTTGAATAATAATAAGTAAATAATAAACAATAGATATTTTCAAGACGTAAAAAATCTTTATAAAAGATCTTAATATGAAATAATGTGAAGGAAGAATTCTTTATGGGAGAACAAAGAAATTTATTATCTAGCATGAACGTGTACCGAGTGTCAAAAAATGAAAAGTATCCTTGGACTTTTGGAACAAAAGTGTATGTTCGTACAAAGTCAATAAGTCAAATTCCAAATATTTATAATATTTATAATTTACGAAGGAAGTATATTAGATTATTCTTCGAACGTTTTGCTCGCGTGAAACGTAATTAATAAGTCGTGAGAATATTTTACCAGTCCCAGCAATGATATTAATTCCAATTGTTTCGCTGACTTTCTTCATGAACGGAATGTTGCGTTGCAAGCCGTAATTACTATTCTCCACGATAGTGCCACCGCCAAATTCTTTGTACAATTTCACATCC